CAGGGGCCTCTGGGATGCCTGCGGTGATCTCTTGGAAGGCCTCTCGGAGGCCTTGTGCATTCGGTTTTGGGGTGTCTTGGGGGTCTCTCGGGGTTCTTTTGTGGAGGCCTCTTGGGGCCTGATTTGGGTCCCTTGGGGCCTCCTCGGGCTTGTGGGGGGCCTCTTGGGGGCCTGCTGTCGGTCCCGGGGGCTATCTTGGGGCGAAGGGCTTGAAATGCGTCTTCGGTGCCTCTTGGGCGGGCTTGTGTCCATCTCAGGCAATCTTAGGCCGTCTGGGGGCGCTCTTTGGGGCCTCTTGGGCCGTCTTGGGGCGATCTTGGGGGCCTGTTGGGGCGTCTTGTAGCGTCGAAAGCCCGAAAAGGCGAGAACGCCAAAACAATCAACACAACTCATCGGAAATCACAGATTTTGGCATCTCGGGGCCCTCTTGGGGGCCCTCTTGGAGCCCTCTTGGGGCGTCTTGGGGGCCCCTTGTGCCGTCTGTGGGCCCGGCCACGTTGGGCGTTTTGGAGCGATTTTTGGGCGACTCGGGGACCTCTGGGGCCGTCTTGGGGGCCTCGTGGGGCCCTCTCGGCGCGTTTTGGGGCCCACCCACTCTGGGCGAGGCGATCCTCCCAGAGGCCCGCGCGGGAAACCCCAACGGAGCCCGGCAGCGTTCGTGAGTTTCGTGGTCCAGGCCTCTTAGGAACCTTACCGCCCCTCCGAGCTGCATAAGCTTCGGGACACTCCACTACGGGCACAGTGGCGGATATGGAGAGAGAGAGAGAGATAGTGAGAGAGAGAGAGAGAGAGACAGAGTGTGAGAGAGAGAGAGAGAAAGAAATAGAGGCAGGAACATACATCGTAGGGGTGTATGTGAGCCCGTGTGGCGTGCGCGTTTGGCTACATGTCCTTATGGCGCCCTGCTTGGAGGCAGAGTGTACGTTCCTCGACATGGATATCGACCGCGACGGCAAGGTGTCCTTGGCCGAGTTCTTGTTTGCGTCTCAGGCATCTGCACTGGGTTGTGCACAGGGCTTCGTGTTTGGTGCTCGTGCGCACGTTGTGCTGAAATGTAGCTTGCGTTAGTGTGTCCATGATGCATACACCTGCAATGCGCGCGCAATCAGTATTTCTTGTTTTTTTCGTCGCGAAGCGGGAGTCAGCAAGCCTCCCAATCAAAGAGTGTTCTGGGTATGGCTTCGATGCACATCTGGCCGAACACTTGGGTCAGTGCCCTCTTGGGGCTGCCTTGGGGCATTCTTGGTGCCGCCTCGGGCTCTGTTGGGGCCATCCTGGCATCCCTCGGGGTGCTTTGGGACCATTTTGGGATGTCTTGGGGCCGCCTAGGGGACATCTTCGGGCTGTCTCGGGGCGTCACTGGGCTGGTCTCTGGGACCATCTTGGGGGCTTGGTCTCTTGGGGACCTCTTGTGCCCTCTCCGGGCTCTCTGGAACCCACTGGCGGCACGGCATGCCGGAACCTGCCCCCCCCCCCCCCCCCACGCACACGGATTTTTGCAGTTGTCTTGCCTCTCCCTGGGCTGTACGCGGAGCCATCCAGCACGTCGGAACCATCTCGGTGCCATTTTGGGGCTTCTCGGGGCCATCTTGGGGTCAGTTTTGGGTAGCCTGCGCTCTCATCGGCTTGGAAGGTAGCATCTCGGCGCAATCCTGCTGCCATTTTGGGGCTTCTTGGGGCCAGCCTGGAGTCAGTTTTGGGTAGCCTGCGCCCTCTTCGGTCGGGTCGCACGCAACGGGGTTCGGCGCAAACGGGGCCCTGCCAGAGCGCCAGCTCCCGCAGGAACGAACTTACCAGGCTTGGGAGCCGCTCGCGGCCTTGGTGGAGGTGGCCTTACGATGTTGGCCGGCTCGGGTCTGTGCTGAGCCTGGTGGATCCACGCCCGATTCGGTGCCGTCTTTACCTGGTTTCTGACCCTCTGGTGCGTGGCGGTCGTCACCCGGGCCGACTCCCCCCCCAAGGTAGCGGTAGCGATCGTACCAAGGGGGGGGGGGAGCTGGGCCGCCCCCGACCATTTGGTGCTCGCGGCGCGCTCGCTGTGGCGATCGCAGCGCCCCCCCGTCCCGGTGTGCACCCCCCGCCCAAGCGTCGCTGCCGTGCCCCAGCCCACTTCCCCCCCCGCGAGCCCTGGCCGAGCTCATGCTGGGCCCGGGCCTCTGTGTGCGGGCCCAGGCCCTCGTCGTGTCGGCGTCGGCGCCGGTCTCCAGCAGGGGCGTGGGCCGATCCGCCACGGCGGTGGGCCACCCGCGGCGCTCAACCTCGAAATCCTTTGTGACGCTGCTTGCTGAACTGGCAGTCGCGCGGGCCTTCCGGCCCCGTAGCCACCGCCCTGGCCCATCCCTGTCACTCCCTAATATCAGAGCCCCGAATCATCAGGGGTAACTCGGGTCAGGGATAACTCGGGTTTGTTTTTCGGGAATCCAAACCCGAGTTACCCCGGACCCGAGTTACCCCAAATAACTCGGGCGTCCAGAGCCCCGAATCATCAGGGGTAACTCGGGTCAGGGCTAACTCGGGTTCCTTTTTTTCGGGAATCCAAACCCGACTTACCCCGGACCCGAGTTACCCCGGATAACTCGGGCGCCCAATAATACTGTTGGCGGCGTTGGGGGCGTTGGTGTCAGCTGCCTGCTGCCTCACCTTCTGGAGCAGCAGCGTCCCCGAACCTGCTGGTCCGCGCTGGACTTCAGTGGCGATGTCGGGCATGCTGAGTCCTTCCAGGGGCCCTCCTTCCGGCCACTCGCCGCTTGCCTGCATGCCGCGATCATGTTCCCGTTGCCGCTCGCGAACCCTACCCCAGCGGGCCCATTCGACGTTCTGGTATTGGGCACACAAACGGAGCACCCACTTGGATTTACTTGGTTGTGTACATCCTTCGAATTCAGACCCCTAGCTCGTTTTTCATGATTCTGACCTGCAAGGGTAGGGTTCACACGTGGTTGCCTAATGCTGTAGCTGCTTGCGCAGCTCCGCCCCGTCTCGGCCTAGCCTGCAGACGGACTCCACGAGGGAGCTGAGGGAGTCGAGGCGGCCCTCGCGTGTCGTCAGGGTAGACCTATCTCGGCAGTGCTTGGACCAGTGTGCTTCCAAGGGGGCCTCCCTCCTGCAGCTGTAGTTCTCTTCGGCCGAACTTCCCTGCCGCGAGGTCCTACCCCAATTTCTGCAAGGAGCTCAGCTCATGTGCCTCTCGACCTCTGCGAACCACTCTTGGCTTAGCTTGCCGAGCTGCACACCGCCGTCAGTGTCCCACACCGCCTCCTGCTCCTCCTCCTCCTCCTTCTCCCCCCCCTCCTCCCCCCCCTCCTCCCCCTCCTCCTCCTCCTCCTCCTCCTCCTCCTTCTCCTCCGCCTCCTTCTCCTCCTCCTTGCACTCTGGAGGTTGGTTGGCAGCGGCGCACTGGAAAATCCTTCTCCTCCTCCTCCTCCGCCTCCTTCTCCTCCTCCTCCCTCTGCTCCTCCTCCTCCTCCTCTTCCTCCTCCTCCTCCTCCTTCTCAGGGGGGGTAGCTCTAGGGCGCCGCTTGGGCCAAACTCCGACGGCCGAAGGTCAGCCGCCCGAAACTCCCCATTCTGTGACGTCACCCTCGCTGTTCAAGCTTCCCTCGGGCCGCACACATACGTCTTAGGGAGAGGCAAGGGGTGCATCACGGAAGGGGATGGTTTGCTAGGGGTCGCCCCGCTTGAGGAAGGCGCGAATGCTCAAGGTTGAACGATCCCCGCGGTGTGAGAAGTCAAGATCAGGGCCGTCACCACACGAACCTGCCGTGTGCCGCTCGAGACCACCTATGGTGTTCAGCTGCTCTCACCTGGCTTCCCGCTTCTCCAGCGGGCTGGGCGGTCGCTTGGCTCACCGCCCTCGGCCTCGCCTCCGGCGAGCCCCACGGCCAGGATTCAAAGCGGATCCTCGGCATTCTCCTGGCCAGGGACGGGCGCATCGGCTTCGTCCATGGTAGCGGCAGCACCGCCAGCGCCAGCAGCACCGCCAGGGCCAGCAGCGGCCGCAGCGGCCGCAGCGCCGCTCTCAGCCCCCGCGGCGGCAGCGGCCGGCGCGGCCTCGCGCCCAGCTTCGGCGGAGATCTCGTTGACAACATCCTGGAGGCCCTAAAACGCTGCCGCGAGTTCCACCTGTAGTGCTGGGGGCGAGAGGTTGTCCAGCGCTGCGACGGTGCAGGTTTGTCGACGAGGGGGGAGGAGGTAGAGGATTACCAGGTTTACCGCAAAGACAAGAGTCTTAAAGAGAACAGGCGTAAACAGAGCGAGGAAGGCCTGCTTGCGCGGCCGAAAACGTTCACACAGAAATGGGAGCTGTCAAGGCACCACGACCGCAACACGAAGTATGTACCTGCGTGCGGCTAGAAAACTGAGGCTGAACGTTCACCCTATTTCAGCAGGCCTGAAGGCCGCGATCATGTCCCTCCGCGCAGCCTCAGCTCAGATAGCGACACTCCCACAAGGGTGCCGACCCAAGCCTCCGCATTAGTAAGGTCGGGACCCTGGAACACCCACGACGTCCAGGCGGGTCCCAGAGCCACCCCCGCGAGTTCCCTTGCCCAAGAGGGACGAGGTGACGCATCCATGAGCCTCCTTCGACCAATTGGTCAGTGACCCGAGTGCGATGTACAGGCGTGCAGCGGACAGGACAATGCCGTGCTACTCGCCGAGCCCCCACCCCCGACACTGGGTGGTCTTATCCCCATTACGGTCAGAGTGCCAGAGCCCCGACATCCTGGACCGCCCCCCGCCTGGCCGCGCATGGCCAGGCGGTGTCAGCCCCCAGACCCTGGGACCCCGTCCTTCTCGCCGCGGCGCAGGCTTGGAAAGCCCACGACTACATTTTTCTTCCTCTCCCAGGGTCAGACTCAGGGTGACAGACGGGAGGCTACCCGCCCGTTTTCCTGGGAAGAGGGCCCAGTGGCACAGGTGCTCGGAGGTTGAGGGGGGGGAGGGGAGGTGGAGCAGTACGGGGGAGGAACAGCACGGAGCCGGCGAAGCCGCTTTCCCAGGAGGATCGCCGGCACTTCTACGGCGCTTGTGGCGGACAGCCACATCCAGGCGCGCCTCCCAAGCCTGGGAGCGCACGGGAGGGAGGGAGGGAGGGATGATGGAAGATAAGAAAGCTTCCTGGAACGTCAAAGGCAGATGTTACCGCCAGACTGACCGTGTTGTACTAATCCAGATGCGCTGCCCCACGATTCCGCCACCGCGCCGCTCGGGCGGGGGTGTGGGCGGGGGCCTGGGGCCTGATATTCTTCGTGTTTGCTGGATGTTCTCGTGCATCCTGGGAGAGGGTACCCTCGAGGGTCCTTCCGTTTGGACCGGCGGAGGGTCTCACGTTCTTGAGTGATGCTTTCCTGTCCGAGGTCCGATTGTAATGGTGGTAGGAACGTCAATAGGGGAACCAAAAATGACATAAACATGAAAACTCTGAGGTCCGCGCGGATTTCTCGGATCGGCGCCGCCGGGGGGCCCCAGCGCCGATCCGAGAAGTCTGCGCGGACCTCCGAGTTTTTATATTTATGCCACTTTTTGTTCCCCTAGTCAAGACGAGTCGTGTCGATGGCAGTCACAGAGTGAACGAGGCAGGGAGAGGCAGGAGGGTGGGAGGAGAGGCGCGAGGAGGGCGGCGGGAGGGCGTGGCCCTGACCTCCTCGCCGCCCTCTCTCTCGTCCCGGTGGTTCCCGGCCGGTGGGAGCACGGGAGGGGAGGGAAGGGAGCGAGGGAGGGGGCGTCGGTCAGGGGGGGAAGAACCACACAGACACAATTAATCCTCGATGCCCAGGAGAATATGGGAAAATATGGGAAGTGGGGGGGAAGACAAAAACCCAGAAAATATGGGAAAATATGGGGAATCCCTTAATTTGTGTGTATTTATTTGTGTGTCCTGGGGCCCCTTCAGTCGGAGGGGAGGGGGGAGGGGGAGGGCGGGAGGCCGCAGGGGTCGGCGGCGAGCGAAGAGGGGAGCTGGGAGGGGGAGAATGTCTTCTCAGGAGGCGGCGGGGCTTCTCAGAAGCTCTCGCGCCTTCCGGGAAGTCTCTGTGCCTTCCGGGGATGCTTGGAACAACTTCTCAGAAGGCGGGGGGACTTCCGAGGCTTCTGAGAAGGCCGGCCCCTTCTCACTTCCCCCCCGGGCTCGCCACCGAAAGGAGTGAGTGAGCAAGGGTGAAATGGACGAGGGAGGCCGACTGGATGAAGGAAGCAGGGTGGGAGGGAGGGAGGGAAGGAGGGAGGATGATGTCGCACCGCTAGAGGAATGATCCGCGTCATCTGTGGTGGTGGTGGTGGTGGTGATGGTGGTGGGTTGCGCAACTTGCGTTTCCGTGGCCCAGCTTCCGCTTCGACCGCGTCGAGCGATTGCCAGCGCTGCGACCAAGAAAGTGGTGGCTGTGCTGGCGGTGGTGGTACAGTCGAGGCCGATCAGCAGATCGACCCTGCCAAAGCGAGGCTGCCCTGGTGTCCTGTGCTTCGCGACCCATGCCTTCTGCACATCCCTGTGGCAGCGCGGGCCTCGGACGGGTCTTGGGCCCTCTCGCGTGCCCTCCCTCCAGTCCCCCCACCCCGACAGTAGCACGCAGCCGCAGTAAGTGAGAGGGCGAGGACGTGGTCAAGGTTGATGGTGGTCTTGATGAGCGCGACCTCCTCCTCCTCCTCCTCCTCCTCCTCCTCCTCCTCCTCCTCCTCCTCCCCCTCCTCCTCCTCCTCCTCCTCCTCCTCCTCCCCTCCTCCCTCCTCCTCCTCCTCCTCCTCCTCCTTCTCCTCCTCCTCCTCTCTCCTCTCCCTCCTCCCTCCCCCTCCTCCCTCCCTCCCCCTCCTCCTCCCTCCTCCCTCCCTCCTCCTCTCCCTCCTCCCCCTCCCTCCTCCCTCCTCCTCCTCCTCCTCCCTCCTCCCTCCCTCCCTCCCTCCCTCCATCCTCCCTCCTCCTCCCTCCTCCTCCTCCTCCTCCTCCTCCTCCTCCTCTCCTCCTCCTCCCTCCTCCCCTCCTCCCTCCTCCCTCCTCCTCCTCCTCCTCCTCCTCCTCCTCCTCCTCCTCCTCCCTCCTCCCTCCTCCCTCCTCCTCCTCCCCTCCTCCCTCCTCCCTCCTCCTCCTCCCTCCTCCTCCCCTCCCCTCCTCCTCCTCCCTCCTCCTCCTCGTCCTCCTCCTCCCTCCTCCTCCTGTACCGCTCCATCCTCCTCTTCCTCTCCATCCTCCTCCTCCTCCTCCTCCTGCTCCTCCTCCTGCTCCTCCTCCTCCTCGAAGTTCGAAGCTGGCGGCATGTGTCACGCAGGCAGGTGCAACTTGCATGGGGGAGCGGGGAAGGTTTCTTAGCAGCAGGCTGCTTCTTAGAAGGCGCCGGCCTTGCCAGTGTAGACAAGGCCCGCGCCTTCTAAGAAGCAGGGTGCTTCTGAGAAGCCTCGCCCCCTCGCCCTGCCCCCCTCTGCGCGCGGGGAGACTGCATCGGCCCTGCGAACATGTCAGTGAGCTCGGGCGAGGGCGGCAAGTCGCCCGCTCACGCGTGCCCCTGAAACTCTTGGCCAGCGACAGGTGTGCGCCGCGCCCAGGCGGGAGCGCTACTTCGGGCGAAATCTGCGGGGCGCCGAGGCGAGGACGACACGTTCCTTGTCTCGCGTGTCGACGAGTTTTCGTGCGAAAGACGTGCGCCGCGCACAGGTGGGGTTCCAAATTCCCTGGAAACGTGAGAGCGCGGCGTCGAAGCGATGCCGACATTTTGCCATCTCGCGCTGGATGTGCGCCCCGTCGCATTCCTGCCACGCTTGTTGCGACGTGGAAGACAGACCGTCAAGATTGAGAGCAACACGTTGACCTTGTCTTGTTTACTACAAGGGAGGATGGGGCGTCCCGGATGGGACACCCATCGGCCCGCTAGGTGACAAAGTGGGAACACATATTCATACGGAATATGGATCAAGAGGATTGAAGCCCGATCCCAGGCGTGGACTCCGTCGACCAAGCCATCGACACTGCCACCCAGGCAGCGCCCAGCGTCGCTCAGGTGGTCGACACCGCCGCCCAGGCAGCAGCGTGCCCCCCCCCCCCTTCCCACTTTCCTCATACACCAGGGGAGGGGATGGGACGGGGAGGGGGAGGAGAAGGGCGGTGAACGGGGCCCCGCGACACAAAGAACGTAAGCGAATGTGGCTGATGGGCAGCTTCTTGCCATCAATGGTTGACCCGTACTGCCATCGGCCCGCAGTGTATGAGGAAAAGACAGGCGCTGCAGAGCGGGCAGACACAGGGAGGGAGAGAGAGAGGGAGAGAGAGAGAGAACAATCCATACAAACATATGGAGAGAGAGAGACACAAACAAACGAGAGAGAGAGAGAGAGAGAGAGAGCGAGAGAGAGAGAGATAGGTCGCTAGCATACACATGCTCCTTTCTTCCCGATCCCTCCTGGTGTCCCACCTCCACCTTCCACCGAAGCTCCCATTTTCCACCTCTCGCCGCGTCTCCTCCTCCCTGCCGCCCTCGTCCCTCGTCCCTCCTGCCCTCTTCGGGGGCCGACGGGCCGATGCACGTGCAGGTCGTGGTCGGCTCCCCTCCGTCGTCCGCCCTGCCTGCACACGAGAGGCAGACACCGCTGGGTGTACTGCGAATCGCGCGATCCCGTCTGGTACTGCCTGAGCTGATTTTGGCATGACGTTAATCTGTTCGTGTTGAATGAAGGCAGGCAGGTAGGCAGATGACGAGGATGATGAGGAGGAGGACGAGGAGAAGGAGGATGATGATGATGCTGGATGCTGATGGATGATGATGATGATGATGATGATGATGATGATGATGATGATGATGATGATGATGATGCTGATGATGATGATGATGATGCTGATGCTGTGCGTGCCTGCTGCTGCTGATGATGATGATGATGATGAATGGATGAAGCTGATGAGGATGATGATGATGAGCTGATGATGATGCTTTGATGATGTTGATGATGATGATGATGATGATGATGATGATGATGATGATGATGATGTTGATGATGATGTGATGATGATGATGATGATGATGATGATGATGATGTGTTGATGATGATGATGATGATGATGATGATGATGATGATATGATGATGATGATGAGATGATGATGATGATGATGATGATGATGATGATGATGATGATGATGATGATGATGATGATGATGATGATGATGATGATGTGATGATGATGATGATGTGATGCTGATGATGATGATGATGTGATGATGATGATGATGATGATGCTGTGATGATGATGATGATGATATGATGATGATGATGATGATGATGATGATGATGATGATGATGATGATGATGATGATGATGATACGATGATGGATGATGATGATGATGATGATGATGATGATGATGATGATGTGATGATGATGATGATGATGATGATGATGATGCTGATGATGATGATGATGATGATATGATGTTGATGATGATGATGATGATGGATGATGATGATGATGATGATGATGATGATGATGATGATGATGATGGATGATGATGATGATGATGATGATGATGATGATGATGATGATGATGATGATGATGAGATGTGATGATGATGATGATGATGATGATGATGATGATGATGATGATGATGATGATGATGATGATGATGATGATGATGATGATGATGATGATGATGATGATGATGATGATGATGATGATGATGATGATGATGATGATGATGATGATGATGATGATGATGATGATGATGATGATGATGATGATGATGATGATGATGATGATGATGATGATGCTGATGATGATGATGATGATGATGATGCCTGCTGCTGCTGATGATGCTGATGCCGATGCTGATGGTGATGATGATGATGATGAGGATGACGATGCTGATGCTGATGCTGCTGATCATGATGATGGCTGCTGGTGATGATGCTGGATGTTGATGATGCTGATGAGGATGATGATGCTGCTGCTGCTGATGATGATGATGATGATGACGATGATGATAATGAGAAAGGGGGGCTTCGAATTCTGGGCAGGAGCGCTGGACGGACGAGACAGCGTTTATCTACGCATACGTGTATACTATGTCTAGCGGGAGAGACGAAGTGCTCATACGACTGATGATGGTGGTGATGCTGAGTTGTGATGGTGATGGTGGTGGTGGTGGTTATGGTGAGTAGGATCAGAAGAAGCAGGATGAGGATGGACGGTATTTTGTAGCTGTGATGCGGGAAGGGGGCTGGATGGGGAAACGGTGATGGGGGTTTGGCAGGGACCTCTGCGGAACAGCAGGCTTCACTGCTCAGGCCCGGGCTCGGCGTCGAACGTCGGGTGCAGCAGCGCCGCCGAGGCCGGCTGCGGGCGGCGCCGAGAGGGCGCGACAATCTTTGAATCTGCTCGGACCCTGCAGAGGCGAGCGGGCGAGTCGCGCTCGGCTGGCCCTCCAGGCTGTCGACGACGAGGGAGAAGAGGGCACGGCGTAATCCTACATCTTGGCATCGCTCGGACGTGTGCGTTTTTTTTCCTTCGGCGAGGGCCATCGAGGAGCATCCTTGATCCTTTGGCGAGACAACCACGCACGAAGCCGAACAAAAACACAGGGAATGGACGTACGAGCGATGGCCAGACATGATCGATGGCCCGCGCGGATCTGTCGGGCCGGCGCAGGAGGCCCCCTGGCGGCGCCTCCGGCGCCGCCCCTGGCGCGCTCCGGGCGCCAGAGAGGGGTGCAGCACAGGTCCAAGATCTGCACGAACGAGATGGGCACGGAGAGAGTGGGTACGATGCCCAACAGCAGTTCCTGTTCAGTTTGAACAGGACTCGCTGTCCGCGCCGCCGCGGCCTGTGTCCATTTGAGACAGAAGGCCGCCTGCCCGACAGCGGCCGCTGTTGGTTGGGGACAACGTTTGCTGTTGGGCATTGTGCCCATTGTTTCCGTGCCCATCTCGGGCGTCCAAACAAGAGGTCCGCGCGGGATGTCAACCAGTTCATGTTTGTGCAGGTGTTCTTCCTCCAGGGCCAGCCGCAGAAACGCGAGCACTCACAACCCGATCTTTTTTTCGGATGATGGACTCCTGCGCATGCGAGCCCGCGAATCGGGTCCACGCGGAGGTCGGCCAGGGGTTCTCGGCGGTCCCTGGCAGGCTTCACTCAGTATGGCCATCCTCTTGCCACGCGGGTTCAACATTTGCACTTCTGGTAAGAGCAACTTCACGGACCATCTCTACAATTCACGCGTTCCAGCAGTTGTACCCCCTGGCGCACAGGTCATCGAGCCAGCCCGATCCTGCTATCTCGAGAGCAGTCACCTAGGGGAGGATCTGCCGTCGAATGCATCCCCCTTGAACAACGGACACGCTGACACGCTTGACCTGACCTACCCTGCTCCGTGCACGGCCAGGACGAGCCACGGGAGGCAGACGCACAGGGACGAACAGATGGCACCCCGTCGAGCTCAGGGCCTGGCCACGACGGCAGCAGATCAGCGGAGAGGGCCGCCACCGTTCGGGCAGCGAGGACCCACTGCTCCACGGTTTTGCGCAGCCCGCTGGAGGCAGCAGGGCGCCGGAGAGTGCTCCGCTTGGCCGCGGCGTCGGCCAATTGGCTGCCCGTGCCTCAGCTCGGCGCGCTCCGCCGGCTCACAGGCGCGCTGGCGTCCGCCAGCGCTGCAGGCAAAAGGCCCGAGCCTGGTCCTCGTCGAGCGGTCCTAGCAGGGGGGGTAGGCATCGGGGGGCAGGCATCGACCCCCGAAGTGCCCATTCCTCGGCGACAGGGGCCTGATAGCCCCACCCGGCCCAGGAAAGTCCGGATTCGCTATCGGGGGGCCATTCGCCGATGTGTTGGCGATGCAGTCAACCCGCATAGCAACGACGAGCGACTTTCCAAGGGTACCTTTACATCATTGCCTCTTCGGTCATCTTAGGTCCTTTTCTTCGCAAGCACTTTCGATGGCCAGCCCAGCTTGAAGAGCCTGGGCATGGGCGCCCAAGACCCTTACACCCTTACGGCGCATCCTTATTATCCAGGCTTGACTGTATGTCGCCGATTCCAAGTCGATGTTCTCCCCCTACGGTAAGTTCGTGCGGCGTTGGCGCGCAGGCGACGCCTGCGAAGGCGTTCAAGCTTGAATTCTGCGACGCGGAAGCACTGAGGGACATGGTGCCGCCACTGGACCCTACTTAATCCAGTCTTGAACGATTGGGGCCGCGATCGATTCGAGGTGGAACGATCGACGCGGTGTGGAAAACCTGTGCGCGCGCCGACGCCGCGCGAACCTACCGTATGCCAGTCCCTGCTCTCCCCCGGGCGAACCGTATACCGCACGCCGCCCTGATACGGTGTCCGTGTGCCGTATACCGCACGCCGCACGTATACCGCATGCCGTATACGTTTTCCGTAATCGTATGCCGCACGAGCCTATTGTTTACCGTGCGCACGAACCTATTGTGTGCAGACCTATTGCCCCTCTAAATCAAGGGCGTAACAAAACGCCCCTACCCTGGTTAACGCGGCCCTGTGCGCCGAACCTCCTGTGGGCTGACAGGGTAATACCTGCGCATCGCGCGGCGTCCTGGCGGCTCTCTTGCCTCTGGGAGGTCCCAGGAGGTCACAGACCGCGCACTTGTGACCCAGGGTGGGGGCGGGTGTCCCTCCCTCAACTGAGGGCGTTGGGAAGCCCCCCGACCGCAGCCTGCGACGCGCCGCTCCGTGGGCGCCGCCGCCGCCGAGCGCTCCGCAACCTCCCCGCCCGCCCCTGTGGGCCGCGGCGGCTGGCCGCTGCCCCGAGGGGGCCCCCGCGGCGGGGGAGGCCCGCGCCGCGCGGCATCCTCGCAGGGGGGCCGCCCGCGGCTCCGCCGGCGCCTCGGCCCCCCCCCCTCTCGGAGGGGGGGACCCCCGCGGCTCCCTCGGGGGGGGGGCCTCCCCTCGGAGGGGGCGCTCCCCTCGGAGGGGGGTCGCCCCTCGGAACGGGGGCGCCCGCGGCCCCCTCCCCGCGGCGCCCCCCTTCGCCGCCTCGAGGCCCCTCCACGGCAGGGCTGGCCCCGGCCTCCGCCGCCCGCGCGCGGCCCGCCTGCGGGGGGTCGGGTGCGGCACCCCGGCCCCGGCTCTCGTGGCCCGAGCGGCTTCCCTCCCTGCCTCCCCCCCCTCGCGCCCTCTCTCCCCCTCGCCTCGCGCCCCGGCTTTCGTGGTCCGAGGGCTTCCCTCCCTCCCCCCCCCCCCGCGCCCTCTTTCCCCCTCGCCTCGCGCCCCGGCTCTCGTGGCCCGAGGGCTTCCCTCCCTCCTCCCTCCTCGCGCCCTCGTTCACCAGCCTCGAACTTATCCCTATCCCTAAGAATGACACGCAAAAAGGCAATGACAAAGTTGGGGATGCGCCCTGAAAAACTAAGGGAATTCATAAGATTGGCGTTGTGATGAGACGATGCCCAGCGTAGGGATAGGGATATGTTCCAGGCTGGTAACTCTTTCTCTCTCCCGCCTCGGTGCCTCGACTCGCTTCCGGTGCACCCTCTCCCGCTTGCTGACCGGCGTCTGTCTTGGAGCGTGTGGCACCCGCGGACTTACAGAGTGTCTTGCTGGGCTTTTCTACTTGGGGCAGTGATGCTGTGTGGCCGAGGCGACGGCTGAAGCACTGCACTGCTGCACACAAGCTTAGGCAACATCTGGTCAGAGTGGCTTGCCGATGGAAGCTGCTCTTGAGCATTCAAACAATCAGTGCAAATGCCGCAGGGACCGGCGACGAGAAATGCACTGCCACCGAACGCTGACTACTCTTGAGCCTGCGACAACCGTGGAAGGGGCCTCCGCACTGAAGCCACCACCGTGTAGACGAGGTCACACGGATCTGTGGGCACTTCAAAGCCTCACCCTGCGCGAGAGCACTGCAGCGCAGGATGCTTGGTGCGAGAGAGCCGTCCGTGAAAACGGTGCCTCGGCAGCCCCCTCCAGCAGTCTTGCGGGGCCTCCGTGCCGGGAAACCTGGACTCCACCGGCAGGGCGCGGAGGCGGCAGCGGGGCCCCGGGATGCCAAAGGAGGAGCCACCTGGTGAAAAGCAGCTTGTCAGCCCCCCTCCTCCTCCTCCTCCTCCTCCTCCTCCTCCTCCTCCTCCGTTCCTCCTCCTCCTCCTCCTCCGTTCCTCCTCCTCCTCCTCCTCCTCCTCCTCCTCCTCCTCCTCTCCTCCTCTCCTCCTCTTCCTCCTCCTCCTCCTCCTCCTCCTCCTCCTCGAGGATCCAACTCTTGACCTAAGGAGGCTCTCTGGGCTCCGAGCGACTGGAACAGCACCACAGCACATGGGAACGTCAAGCAGTCGGTCCGAAGCAAGGCAAGACTGGGCACTGCCAGGGTGTCCCAGGGAGATAGTACGGCCCCTAGTCAAGGAGGCCCCACAAAGGAGCGTCTTCGCACTGACTGGAATGGTGCGGGGAGGGAGGAGTGGGAACGGATGAGGAGGAGGCGGAGGAGGAGGAGGAGGAGGAGGAGGAGGAAGAGACAGATGAGGAGGAAGATGAGACGGATGAGTGGGCAGAGGAGGAGGAGGAACACGGAGGAGGAAGGGGAGGAGGAATAGGGGGATGATGTTGATGAGGGGGACGGTGAGCTGGAATGAGGAGGGGGTATTGATTGAGGCCAGGGAGTCCGTGGATGATATGATGATGGTGATGATGATGAGGATGATGATGATGATCATGATAATGAAGATGATGCTGATGCCGACGATGATGACGATGATGATGATGCCGATGCTGGTGACGATGATGATGATGATGATGCTGGCGCTAATGATGATGCTGAAGATGATGATGCGGATGCTGATGATGCTGCTTTCGATGATGCTACTGATTATTTTAAGGAAGGTGATGCTGATCATGATGATGCTGCGGATGAAGATGCTGATGATGAGAAGGAGGAGTGGAGGGAAATGTAAGTATGATGATGATGATGCTGATGATGATGATGTTGGTGGCGGTGATGATGATGTTGCTGATGATGGTGTTGATGCTGGCGATGATGATGGTGACGATGCTAAGGACGATGCTGTTGATTCTGATGATGGT